AAGGAAGGAAGGAAGGAAGGAAGGAAGGAAGGAGAAAAGGAAGGAAGAAGGAAGGAAGGAAGGAAGGAAGGAAGGAAGGAAGGAAGGAAGAAGGAAGGAAGGAAGGAAGGAAGGAAGGAAGGAGAAAAGGAAGGAAGAGAGGGAGGAAGGAAGGGAGGAGGGAGGGAAGGAGGGAAAGACAGGAAGCAAAGAAAATTTTATCTGCCCACCCCCCTGGCTACAATTGTCCCTACAGTTTCCTCCAGATGCCACACGAGGAAGAAGAGACTGTCCAAAAATGGACACTGCCAATAGTGTCCTGCATCAGGCCAAACCTGCATTAAAACCAAGAGGCCCCTCAACCATCCTCCCTGTGTGACCTGTGAATAGTCTCACCGGCCTTGGCCCTTTGAGGTCTGGTGATAACTGTGTTGCTTGATATCTTCCTCCTGCTCTTGGGGATATTAGGTTTCATATTTGGCCTAAATTCCGGCCTCTTTTCAAACAGAAAATTATGGATGTGGGTAGCACTTCTGTTCGCGTCACCTCAGCCATAGCTTACTCTAATAAGACGTGACATGAATGACCCAGGTTGGCTGAGTCAGGAGCTAACGGGAATGGTGACGGAGCGTTGAAGAAAGACAGGGCTTCCCTCCCAAACTCCCCTCACCCCGGCTCCAGGAATGTTCCAGATTGCTGGGGAATTCTTCGTGTGTGTCTTTGGCTCAGTCTCATCCCGGTTATCCTCCCACCTGGTTTGCACGACAGCAATTAACCCCAGACTTCATTCAAAGCCAGTGTTCCCTCTCCCGGCTCAGGGCTACCGTGGGTTCCTTGTCCCTGTCCCTCCGCACGAGCCCTGCTCACCGAGCTGCCTCTACTGCATCCGTAGTCTCTCTGTGGGACTGGCCTGGCCTCTAAACCCAGCTCTTGTCCTGTGGACGGAGTCCCTGGTGGGGTCTTTGAAGACCCTGCCTCCTTCACGCTGCGTTTCCCTGGTGTAAGTGACGTGTTTCTTCCACTTAGTCGTTTAAGATCTCCTCTTTCCCTGGCCTCCCTCTTGTTCTCTGCCCCTCCCCCATGGCCGCTGGGCTGATCCTCGAGTGGCCATGGCGCCCACGTGCACACCCAGCCGGTGGAGTCTCCCTCTTCCACGGCTGCCTCCCACTATCTCCGTGTTGTCGAATGCTTTCTCTCCGACAGGCCGTTATCCCCAAGCCCCCCGCCCCCCACTCACCCCCCTGCTATCGGTGACCAAGAACACCCATTTGATCTGACACATCTTACGTCGGCGCGTCAAGACCATTGATTTTCCAGAAATATGGTTCAATCGATCCCCATGCATTTTCATTCCAGAGTCTGAATGTAAACAATTCTCACTGAGATGAGGAGGAAGTGTTCAAAACAAACAAACAAAACCCCACTCCACCCGCCTTCAGTGCTCTGCTCCAAGAGGCATCCAAAGCAGGGGCTTCAGAGGCTCTAGAACAGAAGTGTGTCTTCTCCACCCCATGTCCCCGGGTGCACTGACACCGCACCCCCATGGCACCCTCCCCATCTGTCCCATGGGCCATCACCCTGAGCCCCGGATGTGCGGGGAACCTCCGTGCCCGCCATCCTGGCAAAAACGTGCTTTCTCCAAGTCGTGTGCTATTTCAAACGTTCTCCCCTTGCTTTTCTGTTTTTCTTTTAGTTACTCCTTATTCACCATGTCCCGTCCTTTGGTCCCCCGTCTCTGGTCTCAGTGCCGATCCTGGTTTACCCTCGGATCTCTTCCTTCTCTTTCCGTCCCCCACACCTATGGCTGTTTCCAAGGCTCCCTGTCAACTCTCATCAGCGCATGGAGGCTGGGGAGGGTAGGCTGGAACGGAGGAGGGGAGGACCAGGGCCTTCCCTACTCCACCCTGGCCCGTGGCTCCAGCAGTGATCAGGTCTCACCCAGTGGGTCCACAGGGTTCCAGCCTCTGCAAGGTGACCCTGGCCCTGGGTGCTGGTAATCTGGCTCGTCCCTTTACCCCCAGGCCGGGGACTGTGTTGGCTCCCACTGGGCTACCTGCACAGCCCCTGTGAGCTTCTGTGCTGCTCCTTGCTGCTCACCAAGGGACCAGAGACTCGAGAACTGCTCCTTCAAATGCGATTTTCTGTACTTAAATTCTCTCTCTTTCTTTTTTTAATGTTTATTTACTTTTGAGGGAGAGAGAGAGAGAGAGAGAGAGAGAGAGAGAGAGTGCATGGGAGGGGCAGAGAGGGGGACAGAGGATCTGAAGCAGGCTCTGCTCTAACTACAGCGAGCCCAATGCGGGGCTCGAACCCACGAACCGCGAGATCATGACCTGAGCTGAAGTCAGAGGCTTCACCAACTGAGCCACCCAGGTGCCCCTAAATTCTCTCTTTTTCAAAGACAGGGAATTTCCCTTATCTCTCTTGGGTCCCATGGGTATGTCTCCTTTTTGAATTTCTAACCTGCTGTAACCTAATAGAGTCCTCATGTTATGTGAGAGTATAATGGATCAAGTCAGGCCCTGATACGAAACAGCTTGACTCTGGTTTCATCTTCTATCTGACAGTTCTAGCTGTGTTACATTGGTTAAGTTATCAAACCTCTCTGAGCCCCAGTTTCATCACCTGTGAAATATGGACCGTGAAACTCATTTCTGCCATCGAGATAGCCTTGGGTAACCTAGGCTAGGCACTCAGTAAATGTGAGTTCCCCTCACCCCTCCTAAAGTGGTCCTATCTGCAAAGGTATGAGTGCACATCCCTTCCTGGGAAACATATTTGTGTTTTAACAATGGCTTTCTGAAATTAAATGCTTTCTCTCAGCAGTTAGTTCTAAATGTATAAATCTTAACTCCCCACAGCAAAACTATCAGCTTGTATTTTTGGACAAGCTGACCTTTGCGAGCCTTCAGATCTGTCTGTGAAGGTGGGTAGTTACTCTGTGGGGGCTGGGGAAAGCTCCGGAGACACCTCCTCGTCCCCATTAGCTGGGAGAAGGCCCTGGGGCTGATATGGGAAAGGATCCTGCACCTCGCCCCCCTGGGGGGTAGAGCGTATGGGGCTCAAATGTGTGGGAGTCTGGCTCAGGGTTATTTTTGTTTCCATTAACATTCTCTTCTATATGTATTTTAACCTTAATCAAATGCATATGTTTTTGTTTTATTTGCACTTAGCTCATCAAAGTGTCCTTTATGATCTGAACTATGCCATGAGGCCTTAACTCGTCAGCGAAACACTCATTAATACCCCTGGGAAACAGGAAGTTGCATTTAGTCAAATATAAATAAATTCAGCTCCCAGGGGCTTCACCCCGGCCTGGGTCAGGAGAGAGACAGTGACTCCTCTCTCAGCTGTTCTGATCCAGCGCCACCCCCCGCCCCCCCCCTTCCCTGGCCCCCCACTCAAACTGTGCTGGAAGGAAGACATCCCGGGACTCTGGACAGATAAGTGTTTTTGAAAATGTGCCTGTCCTTCATTCAAAACCCTTACGTCGTCCAGTGTGGTTTTATCAAGGAAACCGGATGCCTTTGGCCAAATGATTGGATACTATTCCGGATTTATTTCCATCCCCAGATAGTTTGAAGCCAGGTTTGAAACCAGGCAGTGCAGGAAGGAGGTGAGAAAGAGGGAAAAAGGTAAATCTAAACCACCTCCTTGCAGAGGCCGCTTCACAAGCCGGGCTGAGTAACTTCCTTCCCGTCTCTCCTCCTCGCTCGCCTTCTCTCTCACCCTTTCCCTGGCTCTCCGATGCACATATGGAACCCATTACGAACAAAGCCCGATTGTTGTATATTTGGAATTTCCCACATCAACTTGATGCTTTCTTTAACTGCCTCTTAATGCGTGTCTGCACTGGGTGACCAGGCCCTGCTTCCGTCGGTCCCACCCCGCCCCCACCGGCACCCACCTCGGAGAGGCTTTCCTGGTTCATTTTCCAGCAGTGTAAACCTTTGCTTCTTCGCCTTGCACCCCACCCCACTTCCTATTAGAGTCGTTGAATAAACAGAACTTTCTTTTCCATGGTTTGCAATAAACTGGCCTGCAGAGAATAAATAAAAGCCAGATCCCAAAGCACGTAAGTGATATCAGGCTAACACCAAAAAGCATGGATTACTACAAAGGAAATGGCATCCCTTTCTGAAAACCCAGCGCAGAGAGGACCAGTGGATGTAGAAATACATTAACAGCAAGAAAACAAAAATACCTCCAATTCAGGAAGCCCCTGACTTGTTTTTATTTATCGTTAATTTTCTCTGCTGGAGAAATAAGCAGATTTGGGGGGGGGCAGGGAGGAAGGAAGGGTAGGCTACAGATGAAAAATATATCAATTACAAAATATTACAGAAAAGTTAACATTTTAGATCACGTGTACCGTCCTTCATAGGGCTGTCTGATCTGGAATCATCCACTGTTATCAGAAAAGAATAGGAAATATGAGGGATGAATCTGAATCTAGTCCTTTTCAGAGCCTTGTAAAATCAAACCTAACTGCTTCATGTTAACTGGCATGCGTAAAAATAAATGTCCTCTGACACAAACATTTAAACGAAGACGTGCCAAATGCGAGTCTGTCTGGTGTATTTGATTTGATTCATCGGAACCATATGATACCAACATTTTTTCCTTCGCTCACACTCTATCTTTGTGGACTACATCCACATATATAATTAATTGCACTCCCACGTTTATTTTCTATGCATTGGAAAGCGAGAGAGAAAAACCAGATATGCACATCTGATGCTCAGGGTCATATGTGTAATTTACGACTGTGAGGAGGGATTCCCCAAGTCCCCCGTGCGTTATGTCACTGGTCTGCAAACATTTTTCCTGTGCTCGGAAAAGAGTGAAATCAGAATGCAGGATTTCACATTAATCTCCGCACCAGATGGTGATATTCCAAATAGTCTTTTTAAGGGGACCATGTGACCTACTGTACGGCCGAGGGGCTTTGGAGTCACGTGATAGAATGAATACTATGTCTGATGGAGCTTTGATTAGACCACTGACCTGGTTACCGTCCGTCGCCGTGAGAAGCAAAGTTGACATTTCTGGATCACTCTCCCCAGAGGCGTCGCTTGCCAACTTCTGGGACATGCAGTCTCACCGAGGGGACTGACAGGCAGGGACAGACAAGAGGCAGCTAAATCCGCGCTGCTGAAGGCAGGCTGAAGTTACAGAACTTGGGCTATTTTTCTGCTCCCCCATCCCCCCGCCTCCCTAGGAACCACATCTTGACTCATACAGTCGAAAGAAAAAACTCTTTTGGTTATTTGATATTTGGGAAACCTCCAGGAGACCATAACTTAGTTTTGAGGAAGCCTTGTCTCTCACTTGGCTGGGAGCACACACACACACACACACACACACACACACACACACACTTGCTCACAGGGCTCCAACACCATGGTGGTTCAGGCTGCAGTGGCTCCGAATAGATCTCAAAGACTTTTGCTGAAAATTCCGTATGGATCTCTGAGAAGACGCAGCGTGGAGAGGGTAAGCAACGTGGCGGGCGGCTTGTTTTGCATGGAGCAATTGCTCCAAAGAAAGGGAGATGTTTGTTTGCATTGTACACAACATCCCTTCTGGTAGCCCTGTTTTCCTGAGAATTCTGAATTCCTGGGAAGGTAGAACACTATGATGTGTAAATTTTTTTCTTAACAGATAACTGATGAGAAATTTGCAGTAAATCTGTGCTGTGCATGGGTGGGGGGGAGGTACTGTCAGAGATGAGATAGGCGGGAAAGAGATGGGGTGGGGACTGACTGCCCTTTGGGATGGGGAGAGAAGTGAGCTCCTGGGGAGAAGAGCAGGGGCTACAAACAGATCCATTAGTCGCACAGCTGCAAATTTCCTCTGTGGGGTGACGGAGCCTTCAAAGGAGGCGCTGATGATGTTAAGGAGCTTTGATGCCTGGAGGGTTTGAATTATGCCCCCCACCCCCATTGATGCAAACCGTCCTCTGTCGTGTTGTTGTTGTTTCAAATACCTTGCCATCATTTTGGATTTTTTTTTTTAATACTACGGGTTTCGGCTCAAAACTACTCTGTTAATTTTCTGAAACATGCTTACTTTATGGTAGCCCCTGGCAGAGATGATCCTGTAAAATAATAAGGATCTGTCCTTCTTTGGAGTGACTAATGCAGTGTGGGGGATGACTAAGGTTAACGCAAAGCTAGCGGTCCTCGGGATGTTGGGCTCGGTGCAGGGACAAAATGCCTACATCCCCGCAGGGGGTGGAATGCTTTGTGGGTTTTGGAAACCCAGAAGCTCCTGTTGGAATCATGGCATTCCTCTCCATGAGCTGAGGAGTCTACTTAGATGTCCTAGACTAAAGTGCAGTGGAAAAGCCATAAGGCAAATAGCATCACAAAAGCTCTCTTGAGAGATAAGCAACCTGCTGTATCTTACGAAGGGGAACAGGGTTGAATTCGAGGAACTTGTTCTGGCTGGAATGCTTACAACTCAGTGATTTTCTTTTTTCATTTAAGGGAAACGCAGTTGAAGTGTTAAAAAAATATATGAGGGTCTATCTAGACTTTCAGGTGGACTTGATTTCCTGACTCGTGATGAGTTGCATTCTTTCTGCCATTTGAGTACTGATGAAAAAAACCCTTCACTTCCTATTCTGGTTGTGTGTAGGTCTTTATTTTGAGACATATCTCTTGTGCTCAATAACAGAGTCACCAGCTAATATACAGTCAGTGCCTCCTGTATGCTCCCTTCTATCCCAATAGCTCTAGAACCTAAAACTAATAGTTACGGCTTATACTGAATATGATTTTAGGTTCTGTGGAAAATATTTTGACTTTTACGATAAGTTGATGTAAGATGTTCTGTTCACAACTAATCGTTTAGAAATGCGAATTGTACACGCTGGAGTTGTAGAACCTGGTCACAGTAAGGAGAGAGTTATCTGGGCATGGGCACAAAAAAAAAATCCATAGTAACCTGGTAACTTCTATTTAACCATTAGAATCTCCAGACGGATGCTTGATAGATCATGGGTGGTTAATAAATCCGCACGTATGTAGTTACCACTTCTGTTATTCACTGTTTACCAATTTAAGAAAGACCGACAGACTATGAACATAGCATCATACATAAAACATGGTCATATGTGTTGGTACATACTTACATTCAAAACACACAGGCCTATTTTCCACTTGTGGGCCCATACCAGTGACGCGATCTTAGATCTGCAAGCTGCTGGGCCCGTAGGAGAAGCAGACACCTCACCGGACCATCAGGTAGCCTATTCGTCTTGGTTGCTAGATGTGAAGAAACGGGGCCGGGACACCATGGCTCACAGGAAGACAGCCCTTGCACTCCTTATGAGCCCCCCCGTGTCACCCTCCCCCGTAAGCGAGAATGACACTGATTGCAATGTATGGTGAATGTGTGAATTCCAACTGGACATTTTACCCTGTTGTCGGCTTTATGATCATTTTCAGAATCGGAGTCAAACATTTATGTAAAAGGAGGGCAGGAAAAGTGAGAAATGGCATCTGCTGTTAAGGGCAGACACTGGGGACCAGCACTCTTTTCAGGGGACGCCTTGACTTAAAAGCAACAGCACCTTTCCCAGGTCTACCAGCAGCCTAGAGGGTGACAGGCATTCAGGTGGGTTTCCATTGTCTTGTGATGCGTCATGATCTTAAGGCCTCGCAAGTCTGTACCGTCTTTACTCCAGTGCATTTTTATATTCGTTACTTCGTAGTGTGATCCTGAGTTGCTGGGGAGACACAGAGAATGGGGGTCATTGCCCTTGTCCTCTAGGAGCAGGGAAGCCATGACGTAGAGAGGTTTAATCTTCTGCCCAGGAACATACAGTCAACCAACCACAGAGTAGGTCCCATGTCTAGGGACGCAGTATCTTCTGACCCTGCCATTGGGTTCTCATCCCTTTACCTTTGCTCTCTGGGGGAGCCTCAACATTGCAGCCTGGCCCTGAGCAAAGGGTGATCACCAACCTGTCACCAGTACTTTGCATGAAAGGGAATATAGAAGACTCAGGCAGGGAGAATAGTTTGTGATCCCCGGGGCCGGCTGTACGCACAATTACACAGTTGCTCCTGTTTTCCAACAGGAAACATTTTTTTGGAAAACAAAATGCACCTTTGAACTGTGCTATCTAGACATTCATCAAATCCTGATTTCCAAAGCACTCACTCGGGCCAGGAGCCCATCACCGTGCTAGGCAGGGCAGGAAAAACATCAGAAATACAAGATGCTTTGCTTGGTAAGACAGGGGAGATTTGGGATCCGGGTTTATATAAACAAAATAGTTACAAGCTTTGACGTCACAGGGCACTAATTTAGCTACAAAACAAGAAATGAAGACAAATTAGGTGCTACTGGAAGCAGCCAGGTGGGGTGAAAGGGCAGGGCTGGCAGTCACACGGTCCCTAAAACTGAGAGGCTCATCTGTTGCTAATTGTGTGACCTTGGCCATGTGACCAGGCTTTCTCCACATTCTTAGTTTCTACATCCGCAGTATCCACCCTTGAGGGCAGTTATTAAGGATTACAGATAATTTCCTTATGTAAGGACCTAACACAATAACCTCACATATAGAAAGCCATCATTAATGATAGGGTATTTTTTTTAAGTTTATTTATTTTGAGAGCGAGAGAACCAGAGGGAGAGGGGCAGAGAGAGAGGGAGACAGAGGATCCCAAGCAGGCTCTAAGCTGACAGCAGATGGGGCACCTGGGTGGCTCAGTCGGTGAAGCGTCCGACTTCGGCTCAGGTCACGATCTCACGGTCCGTGAGTTTGAGCCCCGCGTCGGGCTCTGTGCTGACAGCTCAGAGCCTGGAGCCTGCTTCAGATTCTGTGTCTCCCCCTCTCTCTGAACCTCCCCCGTTCATGCTCTGTCTCTCTCTGTCTCAAAAATAAATAAACATTAAAAAAAATTTTTTTAAGCTGACAGCAGAGAGCCCAATGTGGGGCTCCAACTCATGAACCATGAAATCATACCCCAATGATAGGGTATTTTTAAAGTTTGCTTATCTTTGAGTGGAGGAACAGTGGCTTGTATTTTTAATAACTGGTGGCCTTTACACACACACACAGTCTTGGGCACACCTCGCTATTATCTGGAGAAGTCCTTTAAGGATAGTCACTCAATAAAGCCAAGACAGACAGTATTTCCTGGTGATAACTTGCCCTGGACTCCCAATTTTATGCAAGACACATAGAAAACAGAATGTTTCCAATTCCCTGCATGCAAACACCAAGTACCTCCACTTGTACAAGCCTGTATCCCTCTATAGGGTCTCTTCCTTCCAGAGCCGGATGTTGTGACTCCAGAGGTAAAAATGAACTTCATGGAAAATTCTAATGAGTGTTAAGAGTGTCGCATGTAAAGGAATGAACGGAACAGCAGATGTGGACCTTTCTCCTGGGAGTTTGCCTTGGAGAGGGGACAATGTTTTTATGAACCTACTATGACCCTACGCTATGAGAAAATGGTTTCACGTCAGATATTACCTTTCCTTCTAGTTCCAAACCCCAAGAATAAGTCAGCTGAAGCTTTCGTGGCCGGGCCCGAGCTCTCTCAGGGTGTGCATTTGTTACGGATGCTCACCTTCCCATTGATTTATCTTCTCTACCACTCAGCCCCACATTTCCTGAGAAGGAGCGGACGTCTCTGTTCTCCTGGATGTCTCAACACCTCAAATTCGACGTGTCCAAAATGGAATCGGTCATCTTACGATCCTGCTCCCCCTCCAGTCCACTGGCTACCAGGACCCTGGGAGCAGAATCCAGGCACCCTCCCTGCCGCTTCCCTTCCCTGGGCTCAGGCCACTGTCATCTTTCACTTTCAAACAGTTGCCATTCCTATGCCCCCGAAGTCCAAGTCCGTGTTCTGTGTTGCAGCAGTGTGATCTTTCTAAAACATAGGCTGGGTCAAGTCACTGGTTTACTGAAAACCCTTAAGCGGTTCCCTACTTCAAGATGAGTACTTAGATAAATGCCTCAATGTAATGACAAGGCCTTCATGGTCAGGACCCCACCGCCCGCCCCAGCCTCAGCTCTTCCCCGAATTTACCCTGAGCATGTTAGACTCCAACCACACTGAACATATCTGTGGTTCCCCCAACTACCATGAGCTCCCTTGCCTCGGGGCCTTTGCACATGCTTTGGTCGGCCTGACACACACTGCCTCCTCCCTCTACCTCCTTAACTTCCAAGTCATATCCTTCGGTCTAAAAGTAACACCCTTAGGAAGGCTTTTCAGAAACCCTGCCCCTTCCCCAAGTCTGAATAAGTACTCTTGGCTTTGGGCTCCCCCAGCCCTCTGCATTTTCCTCATAGCACCCCAGATCACACTGCATTGGATGCCCCTGTTTCCATCTTATTTCCATGATGTCAAATCTCCACATGATGATGAGCTCCCTGACGCAGGGAGCACATCTTGGCCTCTGGCTCACAAAACAAGTGTGATATTCACTAGATGAGCAAATAAATGAAGTCTGAAAGCTCTTATAAA